TTCTGTGTTTATGTAATTTCAGCTTACCGGGACAGCACCTGGGGGCGTGAAAATCTCGTAGCGGGTCAAAGGCAAGCAAAAGTACTCCAAATATACATACGTATGTAAATGTGTGGGTGTAGGTCCAATCACCAAAACGGAGGAGCTGTCACTCAATGACAATGCGAACATGCCACTTGCCACACGTCACATCAGCTTGTAGGTGCAGCGCTCACCACAAAGGCACCAAGGGCCGCGTGTGACTGTGCGAGCGGTTATGTTTGCGGCTTTGGCCATTCCAGCATGGTGATCAAGTACGCCGCTCTGCGCCCCTAAAACCACACAATACATTTGTTTGCCCAGCGCGTTGGCACTGTCAGCCTACAGGCTGCAGTGGCAGAGTGAGTGCGAGTTGTGGAGCAAAACAAGTTAAAATCTGATAAGGCAGCCAATATTTGGAAATCGAAACGGACACTGATTTTTCACACACCGCCCCTTTTCCACTTACCGTTAGTTTGTTTTTCTCGACGTTGCTCTTTAACTCTGTGTGTCGTTTCCGGCATAAAATCTTCCTGCAATTGCTGCTGCTGCTGCTGCTGCTGCTGCTACTGCTTCTGCTGATGCACATTAGCATATCCTCTTATCACATCAGCTCCCATCACTGGCTGTCAACTAGGACAATGTGTTTGCGCATAAGCGGCGTTTGTGTGTTCGTTTGCTTAAGGCTGCTCCCTTTCCTTGCACCACATAACAGTTTGGCTGTCAGGCTTCAATGCCGAAAACAAATGTTGCACTGTTTTTTTTTCGTTTTATATGGAAATTTGCCAAAAATCGCCAATGTATGCATAGAAGTGGCGCAAAAGTAAAGTAAAAGTACAAGCACAAGTAGGAACATCTTTCTGGCGTACACGTAAAGATATGTAAATTCGGCTGGGCACAACAGCTTAAGGCCGGTTGTTCATGGCGAATGAGTGAATTTCCGGATTGATCGACTGACTGATCTTGATTTGATTGGCTGATCTTAGTTTAAACCACGGCCGTGCACTGAAAAACTGGCCCTAAGGCAAGGAACGATTTTTATTCTTGTTCATTATTTAATTACAGCAAAGAAAACCTAGTGCTGCGGACACCTGAAAAAAGAGGCGACATTAATCCTTGCTCCCCGCAGCATGGCCTCTACGCTTAACTTAACGTCGGAGATGGTATGAAAGCTCAGACAAGCATGAAGCGGCAAGCGAATATTTGAACATAAAAAATTAAGTTCTTATTTTGAATTACATATATTTTTATGGATCTCGTTTTCCAAATATGTTCATACATAGTTTCTGTTGTAAACCTAAAATATGATGTATTGACATATATATTTATTGGAGATAAAACCAAAATTTGTGTTGCTTCCATGCGTCTTTTTTCTAACAACTATGTTCTTAAACAGACTTTTGATTACAACAAAACTTTTCTTTAATTTTACAATCGTGAGCATTTTACTTAAGGGTCCCACAGACGTGTGACAGGTGTTTGTGTGACAATAATTTGTGGTAGGTAGTAAAGGGTTAAAACAAATTTTATAAGATGAAAACATGAAGTTAAACTTTCCTCTATTAGGGCACGAACCCATGACAAACGTCTAACTATGAATGTCAGCATTAGCATTGTAAATGCATTCTTGCATATTTGCATACATATCTACTACAACATTTAATAATAGGCTTTAACTACTTACGCAGCAATTCAAAGACAAAGTTCAAAACTTTCTCAAAATCATTCGCCCCAACCACATGATTTCTCCACATGGACAAATATATTAGTATACATTCACAATTACACATACATATGTAATACCAACCAAATGCAAACCAAAACCATAACCAAGAATCAAAGATTTCAAAAGCATCCCTACAACAATAATGCTTTCAGCCGCATTCTAAGCCAGCTCATAGACTGAATTCCGTACATGCAGGAAGCTAGTCATAGCTACGTATTGTTAGTTATTTCGGTTTTGTGAATATACCCTCTTGGAAAATTAATGCAATGCTTTCAATTGGTTCTCGCGAAAACTTTGAAGAAAAATTTCAAATTTACCCGGTTTCCTTCTCGCTTTTAACAGAAGCCATGAGGAAAGCTTTCACTTGAAAATAAAGTGGAAGCATTCCTTATCAGTTCTCATAAAAACTTCGAAATTAATAGCAATTCACCGTTTCACCGAACCAAGTTTGAATTAAAACCAAACAAAAAAAGTAATAATTCCAGTTTTGATTCGGAACCGGGCAACGCGCCTTGTACATGAATTTAACACAATTTAACTAAGATTCCTTTTCCTAAAGGGTATATATGAATGTATGAAAGTACATATGTAATTATGTGTACTTTGGTGAGTGTTTTGGCTTTTGCATGAATGCTTGCAAATTGAATTTGTTTCCGGTATTGCACGAGGACGATTATTATTCAGAAAGTTCAAAAACATCTTCGACAACGACTGGAGACATAAATATAAGAAAAACAAAACTTTCATTCAAAAATCCTTAAATACATATTTATAGGAAATGCTGATAGTGTTTGCACTAGTTTGTTATCAAAGAATTTCTTTCAGTGATAAAGGGTTCTAATACCAGTTCTTTTACCAAAAATCTCAGTTAGTCTAGACTTAATTTACTAAACTTAACTTAACATTTTGACCATACTGTTATATGAGAACTTGTGTTTGCGGTTAGTGAAAACTTAGCTTATAGCTTACCGTAAGAAACTTAAGAACCTGTAGATTTTAGAGTCTTAAGTTATGGTTTTATAAAAAAATTGAGACCGGCGAGAGAATGGGGCTGGCAAACTATCGAAACGACTATCGATGGTTTCCGTCTGACGATAGTTCTATCGATTTTCAAGCAACTATCGACTATCGACAGAAACCACCATTTAATTTTTTCTCTCCCTTGTCTAGCAATTAATTGATTTTATACATATTAAAGCGTCTTTTCTATCAATCCAGAACAGTTACTCAATTATGAACTTTATTAGATACGTCTCACATCTTCTTGAAAATTAACATCAGTTATACGGGGATTCACAACAAAAATAACACTTTCAATTCCTTTAAAGATGCGAATTCAAATACGATTTTTTGGCAGACAAAGCAACGATGTATCAAATCAACTGTTTGGCTTCTTAGCTCAAAGAGTTTGCAAAAAAAACTCGATTGGCCAATGTGGATGCAATTATTAGCAATGCACAAAATCTTGAGCAGCTTAAAGTTAATCCGCATATAAACACATTGCAATATTGGAAGATAAGTTATTTAATTAGGAAAATTATATTTAATTGAAGATAATTATGTCTTTTTACGTACCAAATCAAATGAATTCCAAATCAAATGAAGCCTAGCTGGTTTAATAATAAATGATCGCAGGACGCCACTTAAACCAAGCACAGGGAATAAATTAATACAGGGAGTCAGTCTCGAGTTATGTAGACTCCCGACCTGTGAATGCCGTTCTGAGCGCACAACCACCGGACATCGACGAAACGGAGCTTCATCTGCCTCGGGAGACTAGCACCGCAATAGCCCAACTTCGCTCCGGCTACTGCAACAGGTTAAACTCATACCTGAGCAGATTAGACGCGGATGTGCCAAATGAGTGTCCGGCATGCGGAGAGACACCCCACGAATCAAAAGAGCTCTTCGTATGCCCGGAAAACCTGACGCAGCTAACGCCTTTGTCCCTGTGGACCGACCCCTTTGAGGTTGCTCGCTTCTTAGGGCTTCCGTTAGTTGAGCTTGACGACTACAACTGAGATATTAGCCGATCTGAGAGGGGTTGTTGTAGCCGCTACAATAACAATAACAACAACAATAATTAATATTTCTACAAAAAAAAATTTGCTAAAAATTTAATTTCATTCTATTTTAAAATAAACAAAATATGCTCGCTTCCAGCTAAAGTTGAGGTGTTGTGTAATCTTTTTCACTATTTCTTATTAAGTTAAGTAAAAATCTAAAGCCTGATTTTGGCAACTTAACTTAACTTAACGGAACGTAGAACTTAGAGAATCAAAATGAAACAGATTTCGACGTGGCCTTAAATTACGTTAAGTTTCGGCTGTTCAATTATAAGCAACACCCATTTGACAGAATTTTTAAGAGAGAGCCGTAAGTTACGTTAAGTTGCCATAATCAGACCATAACTGAGCTTGAAGAGCTATGCACGGACAGCTGTACCGGGGTAGCGAATATAACAAAAACGCAATATAAGTATTTATGTAAATACATAAGAAAGTAGTTAAAAATTTTGACCAAAGAAATAATGGAATTCACTTACACTCTTCAATCAACCATTCTTTATTTTATAAACACACATTCATTTATTTTTGCTTGCCTAAAATTAAGGCGATTATATGAAATATTTAATTCATGAATTCTAGACAAAAATGAAGGAAATCAATATTTAATATGTATTTCCACTTCACTTAAGAGCTTTTGATTTCAGCTCTTCTTTTCCATTTCGAATTTTATTTAAAATAACAAATGTTTTTTTATTAACACTGTTGGTGTTAGGCATTTGATACACTTGATTTAATAACAACAACTACAAATACAGTAGATACTAACACAAATGTATATAAAAGCAGTCATGTGAAAAATAATAGCGACACGACATTTTAACCAGTTTTGGGTATTTTCTTTTGCTTGATTTAATGTTTATTATTTATTTGTAAAAATACAGCCTATTATCTGACCAAAAACCATCTAAGTCTTAATTTCAAAATTTTTAGAAAAATTTAAAAAAATCGCGTTGTTTTTTTGGAATTTTTTTTTTTTGTCGATGGTGCTGTTATTTACTTTCTTACAAAAAAAAATTTTTTTTTTATGGAAGAAAATGCGTGACACTGTCGGCAAAAGCAATTATCCAAAATCAACGCGAATTCTTCGATACTTGAAATTTACACTTTATTAAGCTAAGAATTTAAGGCGCTATAAAAGTGCGTATTTAGAATTTTTCTTAATAAAACGTTTGATGTTGTAGCAAAAAAAAAAGAAATATTAAACATTAAACAAACAAAAGAATAATAGTTAGTGAAGACGGTCAAAATGTCGTGTACCTATTATTTTACACATGACTGTAAAAATAATATCTATAATACCCACGTAGAAGGACTTAAATATACATAGACGTATGTAAGTTAAAATTTATATATGTACATATCACTTATGCGTACAGATACCTTAAAAAGCTATAGAAATTCGTGAAAAAAATATCTCAATGTTACACCATGGCTCCTCAACTTCTACTGAAGAGCGCTCCCAACTAAGAGAACGGTCTTCGGTTTCGCTTCAGAGGTCGCCACGCTCAACCAATTTCATCAGCCGCAAAATTCGATCGTACAACAGCTTACGTGCATCCACGCCCCAAACAAAATCCAAATGATTGAACTTCGGAAAGCTCACTAGAAATTTACCGATCACATTCGGTAGCTGCACGTGGAGTTCCTCGATATCGATTGGCGTCGCCAGCCAATCGTTCTGTGAGTAGTGCAGCGCCACTTTGCTGCGCACTTTCTTCAAATTATAATTGGGCGGTGTGATCTGATTGTAGATCCAGTAGTTGCGTATCCAACCGTAATCGAATTGGCGGAATTCTCCCGAGCGTTTTAGTTGGCCGTAATGCTGCATTTGCTTGGTGGAGGCACCCGCGGGTGAGTGGCCGAGGACAACAGGCAGCATTGTCTGCGGAATAGATTTTGAAAATAGACTAATTAGTTTCATTTGAAATACATAAGTTTTCAAGCCAAGAATTTCGAAAAAATTATTTGAAACCGGAGAGAAAGACCGCTGGGCTTAAAAATCGTGGCAAATACGTATGTATGTATGTAGATATTGTGATTTGGGATATAATTTTAAGGACCTGCTACTTTTATTATTTGAAAATGCAGGATCAAGGCCTAGATCTTAATATAGGATATGCTGCTGTTGAAGCAAGTTGGCAATCCAACTGACCAAAGGGCAAAGAGAACATGTGGAAGTTATGTGTGATAAGTCAGATGCGAGTTAGAATCCAATGCCTAGAATGCAACTAGAATCCTTGCTGCAGTTAGTTATAAGTTGCCGTTAAGCTCAATTAGCCTAGAGGCCAGAAAAGTCAATTTTCTAACCGGGCCCAAAGAGCAACCCACTTTCTTAGATGATTCGGTGTAGCGGCTTACTTAGCCCTAGATCGGTAGCTGTTTAGACCGTAACTGTGCCAGAGTGAAGCGGGTCACCCGCTGTAGTTAGAAGCGCACTCTTGTCCACATATGGTGCTTGGACATTGATGACGGCATTCACGGGACAGGAGTCTGTATAGGAAGGCACGATCTCCTTGTTTGCTGTAGTCGCTGGTGGTCTAGGATAAAATCATTTATTAGAAGAGAGTTAGCGAAGGTCTTAACTGACTCTCGATTTATTTCGTTTATTGTCGTGTATGTATATAAGTCGTCTAATTTGGGGCACGGAGTACACACTGCTGAACCTGGTCTTAAAGATCTGTGAGGAGAATTCTGTGTGCCTGAGTGGGATGGGTCGATTTCAAGCAATGACCTGCAGGTTTTTTACGCAAGATACAAGTCCAGTTGTATGTTGATTTATCGCATAATTAACAAAGATAAATTAGCTGAAACGAAATGCACTAAAATCCTGATTCCAAACAAAACCTTCTTCACTTGGTATTTTCAACAGGGTATTAAGGCAATTTTCCATCTACTACGCACCTCGTTTGCCTCCGATTTATCGAAACCGACGATCAAAAACAATATATTTGAACAAATTTCCATTGTAATGACATCCTCATCGCAGATTAATTGACTGAACATTACCCTGAATTCGGTGCTGGGTAAGAATTCATGAGCGCCAATGAGTTTCAAAAGTATCTATGCAGAAATAAAAAATAAATAATTCATGAAAAAATTGGAAATCGTAAAATCCATAGAGATACATACCCCGATTGGCTCTTGAAAGTAAGCCAAAAAATCCACCACCGGACTTTTGCTGTGCTTTATATAGGCTATAGGCGCCAATGCCTGCATTGATATAATCTTGTCACTATACTCTGGACGCTCGCTGCACATTATCCAAAAGGTCATAGTGCCCTGTGAGTGTCCAATGTATTGTAGTCGCTCTTGGCCCGTCTGCGCCAGTATATAATCAATGCTGGCCGGTAAATCATATTTGGCAATTTCATGGAAGGTAAAATCCCAGAATTTCGCATGTTTCGTACTGTACTTGGTGTGATTGCGCGAGTAGGTGTTGCCGCGCACATTCGGCATCCATACATCATAGCTGGAGTTGTAGAGGAGATAGGCTGGAATGGAAAAAAAGTAAACGTAGTCGATTACTGAATTAAAGAGTAGCAGTTATGGGTGCAATCTTCACCGCGAGGGTACAATTTATAACTGATTTGAGTTAAGCAAATATTTTAAAGAAGCTTAAAAGCCTTCAAAAAGTCAATTTTTTCAATTGCGAAAAAATATTTTAAACAAAAAACAGCTTTATAAAAAATTAATGTAAACTAATGACTAGACAAGCCATTGTCATTAGCTGAAGTTTTTAGTGCGTGGGAAAAAATAAAACAATGAAGCACTATTAAGGCAGAGAAATATGCCTCAAAAGGCTGAAATAAATAATAAATGAATTAAAAATTTGAATTTTCTTTCGATTTATCTTGTCCCATCTCTTGTCAATGCTTGTCCCATTATATATACTTGTATGCGTACGTATTTGAATCGCGATTAGTTAAGTGGTGGCCTTAAAACCTTAAAATTGTTCCCATTTTTTAGTAGGTACTAACTAGCAAATACCCGGCGTGATTCACTGCGCCCTAATTGTATTTTTGTGCTGTTTGATACACGTTTTGTAATATTTCATTTATTTAACAATTTAATAGAATACAGTTTTTCAAACAGGTGGCAACCCTACTCAAAAATATTTGCTGCTGTAATTTTTCCTAAATCTCTTCAGTTTGATGCCCATATTGCAATATTCTATTTATGTTATCGATCAAATTAAATTAAAACTTTCAAACAGTTGGCAACCTTCAACAAAAATATTTTCGGCTGTAAGCCTTCTTAAACCTCTTTCTTTTGAAAGCCATATTGAAATATTTACTTTATCTTATCAATTTACTTAAAGTGCAATTTTCAAAAAGGCTTGCATCTCTCAATTTTTTTCTTTGCATATTTTAAGTTAGACCTCTAGCAATACAAAGGAGAAAACTTCATTTAACGCCATGTATGTATTAGTTTTCGAGTACAAAAATACAGACAGATAGACAGACAGACATAAATTCTAAAAATTGCTGATTTTGTTTCTGTTGCTCTATTAAAGATGCCCCTAATTAATTTTTCTTTAAAATCTATGATGTACAGACATCGGCCTATTACAATTTTATTATATTATATATCCATTGGGAATTAAACGACATAAATTTTACAAAGTTCAGAATTAAAAAATCGTGTAATTACGTTAATAAGAGTGCATATTCATTAGGTTCATTCTGCAATGCACACCGGGTTTCCCTGCAAGACCTGAAAAAGCTCGCACCTCGCCGAAAATTGTCAATAAATGTAAATGGAAGCTAAATTGGCTGGAACTTATGTCAAGTTTCGGATAAATGTTCTTCAGGAACCGTGTAAAAAATTTTGGCTTAACATCTGAGGACCAACAACAACGACAAAAATAATTTTGTACGGTATTATCTGTATCCACTATGGATTTCAGAGAAGCTTGCATTTTTCATTGATTTATGAGTAACAATGAAAGGGGTGGGGTGTTTGCCTCCTTCTTTAAACGATGGGCTAAGTAGTACAATGATCCTTAAGTCACCAGAGAACTCTTTACCCCTTTAGTCAGAGCAATTTTAGAATATGCGTTCATTATATGGAGCCCTAGATATCAAACTTATTGCGACAGAAGAAGTATTAGGACCATTTTCTCAATGTCTGGTTAACACTAATTATAGGTTAAACATTGTTAACGAGTCCCCTTTGCGTGCTATGGAGTCGATAACGATGTTTAACGTGCAGTTACGGTTAACCAGTCATTGAGGAACTGGCCCTTAAACCATACAATGACCGCCTGAAGCTTATTAATCCGCCTACGCTTCATAGCCGCAGAGAGCTGCTTGGTGTTTTCTTTAGTCCGTCTTTGAGATTAGTTGGTTGACATTAATCTTCGGTTAAACATCGTTATCGACGTCTTCGACTCCCTGCGGGTAACAGGGCGTCGCTAACGTGCGCTTGAAGTAAGCGTAATTTCGACATTCAACTAAAATATGTTTTTTTTAGATGATCATTCAAAATGATTTCGAAGACGTAAACGCAATATTAGGTGTTTGGGTTGTTCTACCAGTTTCGACAGCAACGCCAGAAAGCCCATTTTTCACACCCAAAAGGATCAAATCATTTGCGAAGTACGATTGGCTAGGAACGTTTGAAAGGACTTGTATCATTGTGTCATTGAGTAAAATCGCAAAAAAAAATACCACCATTGGGGGTTTCGTTAGACTGGGGTTAGTAACGATTTCTTGGTCTTAAAAAAGTTAAAGTTCTATCGCTTGGTGTTTTGAAACCTCAACTTATTTCCCGTATTTGCCACTTGGAACTAAAGCACTGATCCGAGAAGTTGATTTCACTTAAAAATTTATAGCTTTCTTTACGTGAGAGTACATAACACCTTGGCTCCATTCATTTTGGTCACCCAGTACATCCTACAATAAATATAATATTTTCACGTAGACACAACTTACCTAATCCCTTATCGGGCCCCATCATCACCCATGTCGCTGACGAATCCAATAATCCATGCATTAGCAACACAGGTGTGGCGTCTTTCCTAACGATGCGATGCAACTCCAAAATGTAACCAT